AACGACAAATAGTTAGGAAAAGAAAGAAACCCCCCCTTGAAGCTGTAACACCCTGGGCAATACAAGACTCAGGAGATCTTGCAAAGAACCTATTGGTGGCCCACCCTTGCACGCAATGTCAGTGAATACGTCACCGGTTGCGCAACTTGCCAAGAAAACAAGGTCATCACACATAGGAATTCACTGGATCTAGTACCCATCATGACAGAACATCATTTTCCATTCCAATCCATCGCCATGGACTTCATCATGGATCTACCTCGGAGCAATGACTTTGACAGTTGCCTGGTGGTTACGGATCATGACTGTACCAAGGCTTTGGTATTCATACCCTGCAACAAGACAGTCACAGTATCCGAAACTGCTACCCTGTATCAGAACCATGTCTTCAGAAGTTTTAGACTACCCGCTAAAGCTATTTCTGACAGAGGACCACAGTTTGCATCACGAATGTTCAGGGAACTATGTGCCAAATTAGGCACCAAGCAGAACATTTCTAGCACGTTCTATCCTCAAACTGATAGACAGTCAGAACGTGTCAACCAAGATTTGGAATTGTATCTTTGAATCTTTTGTAATAACTGAGCAACTGATTGGACAAATCACCTGCCGCTAGCAGAATTTGTGCATAACAATAGGTATCATAATGTGATCAAGATGTCTCCCTTCCACGCGCTCATGGGTTACCAACCTCGGCACAATATTCCCACTGTGGGAACAACGGACACTCCAGACATTGCTTCTAGACTCACCCAGCTAACACATCTTTGAACTGAAATCCAATCCAGTATTCGACTAGCAGAGGAAACAGTCAAGAAATGGAATAAGGACAAGTTTGTCGAATATGCACCCAGACAGAAGGTATGGCTGGAAGCAACCAATCTCAAAGGTCTCCACCCAAAAGCCAAACTTGGACCAAAATGCTATGGACCCTTCACCATTGACCAGAAACTATCATCAGTAGTTTACCAGTTGAAGTTAACACCTAAATGGAAGATCTACCCTGTGTTCCACGCAGGACTACTCTATCCTTATTTGGAAACAACAATGCATGGGAAGAATTATCTCCAACCTCTGCCGGAACTAATCAAAAACCAGGAGGAGTTAAAAATTGAACGCATTATTGATTTGAAGACAGTTGGAAAGCAAACATTGTACTGGGTAAGATGGAAAGGATACCCGGCCTTGGATGACTCCTGGCTACCAAAAGCTGAACTTTCACATGCCAAAGATGCTTTGGCAGACTTCCTACAGCCAAACAAAGGGTAACTCCTTATAAGAACTACTCGCCTCAGCCTTCCCCAATGACATCCATCACCATCCTCGCCGCCCTCCTCCTCATCAGTTGGACATTTACCATCCTCCTCATCCTTATCCTCGCCTTTGCCATCTTTTTCCTTAAAGACAGCTACACCTTCAAGGTCCACCTTGAACGCGTCCCCACTCCTCTCACCACCACCCCCATCGACAAACAAGCTCTCAACTGGGCTAACAATGGCACACAAGTAACGTTCCCCATTGAGCTAACTCCCGCTCTCTTTACTGATCTCCTCAGTGGTGAACCAAGTTGCCCCCTTCACCGCCGTCACCCTCGCCGTCATTGACAAGCACCCCCACCTTCTCCTCCTCGCCCTTCTGGGCTTCTTCCTAACCACCCTCCTCTCTGTCCTGGCCCTCGCCCTCATCGTCCCCCTGACCCTTCAGCTCACCATCCGACACCTTGAACGCAAGCACCAGTGGGCATACAACATCATTGCCACTGCCTAGCACCCCCTCCCTCATACCACCACCACCCTCCCAGTTATTGCCGCTAACCAGGATTCCAACAATCCCACTCAAGTATACTTTGAGTATATTAGAGAGCACCAAGATTAGAGTCTGGGGTCTTGTTTTGTCTGTAGTAGTTGCCTCCTTTTGTATTCTCCTTCTGGTTTTTTCAACACAACTCCTTCGCTTCCTCCCTATGCCTGCTGAGTGAAACAGCCACGCCAGAAACAACAATGAGACTCCTAATCTGAATCCACATCGTTGCCCTTTGGCTCCTAGGCGTAACAATTCTCCAACGACTGGTCCCCAAAGAGCACCAACCCCTCACCCTTCCCATCTCCGGACACTAGAAGAGTGTTTCACTGCTGGGATAATAGAAATGCCAGTTCCTAGGCACCCCATCTTGAGCTTCCCTTCCCAGCAAGAATCTGATGATTCTTCTCTTGAATTTCTTGATGAAGGAGGTTTCCGTTATCCGTTCACATCCCCCTTCCCAAATGCCACTCACCGCCCCTTCCTCATCCCTGGACCCCCGGACTCCTCAAATAGTGACGCTATAGTCTTGCACCAGTTTCCTGGACCCCTAAAACTCCCTCAGGCCTCAGAAGCAATGACCAGACCTTACCACATTGCTCCTGCTCAGGTATTCCCATCCTCGTCACCTATGAATACCTCATCATCTCCAAACCCTGACAGTCCCCTTGCCACGTCCACTGATTCCCCCAGTATGCCGCCCCTTGCCTCTGACATCTCAGACAATGGTAGCCTTGATCACGCTCCTAACCTACGGCTACTAGCCAATGTCAGCGAATATGTCACGGCATTGGAAGGATACAGCAGCGATCCCCAAGAATTTATAGTCTACAGCGACAATGACATCCAGCAACCCTCCAATGACATCACTCAACACTGGCAATCCATCCCCTTCGACACCTCCACCCCAGTTCAAGATGTCAACCCCTTGGAACGCGTGCTACCTTACTTCCCTGGAGCATATGCCACCACTGTTACTCAACCCCCTATGGGCATTCCTATTAATGGAAACCCTGCATTTGGATTATGACGGGTCTCAATAACTGCAGCGGACGTCCTTCGAATGGCAGAATCTGTAGGGAACTGGAACCAATCAGGTACAGAATGGGAGGAGGACACTTGGGAGTACCTGCTGACACAAGATGACAATCTGTTGGAAAGTCTTTGGGCGTCGCTACAAGACATCAAGGATCTTGGAGTAACTGATAAAGTCAATTGTTTCAGGGCTGTTAATGCCAAGATCGACTTACTACTGGCCGCAAGACAATCAGTAGGGGCTGAACTTATTTGTGCTCAACAGGAGATAGACCAATGCCGAGCTTGTCTTAGAGCGGCCAACCTGGAGGAATGCCTCGAACAACACGAATTCCCTATCATCACTCCTCCCTTGGGCGCCATGCCCCGCTGTCTTCGCTTCTGTACTAAATGCGAAACTGATGGTCATCTCCAGAGTGAGTGCTGGCATTGGTTGTGTTCCTATTGTGGCCTCCTTCACCCTCATCACAAATTCCGTACTGCCAACGATGTACAACCTGGACAACTCCCTTGTCCCACCAAGGAACCTGGGTATCTACAAGAGCGTTGCGCTCAATGGAAACTCTGAATGACGAATCTGGAGAGGGGGGTAATGTTACAGCATGAGAGGGGGGTTCTTT